ATTGTGCCTTAAACTGCATGTCAGACTGTATACAAGATTAAATTGAAACTGCCTGGATTATTTGTCATAGAATTTGTGAGGATGGGTTTAAACCTTATACACTTCTTTATCCAAGGGGATACAATGCATTTTTTTTTAAATTAAAATGGATGTGTTGCCTACACTTTATGAAATGGTTTTTTAGCATTTGTAGGCATTTACACTGTTTTTCTTTGGTCTGCCTAAAGAGTGAAATGGACCAGTATTATTAATATTTTTATTGCTTTATGCTAAACAAAAGGACTCCTAGTTTTTTCACTAATGTGAATGTCTTTTCACAGTATGTGGGACTAATATGATTTCAAAATGTTCACCGAATTTCTATCCGTAATTCTAAGAACTTTTTTTTAAACTGAAGAGTCAAGATCAGACTTATATTTGTTGCACGTTTAATTTCTCCCTGATTTTGATTTCTTTCTCTACCTCTTACCTGCAAACTAAAAGAATCCTCACTAGCAGATCATCTGCAATATCCAGCAGCTTTTTTACATTGACTCACTTTGGGTGCTTAGCACTTCTTGGGTAAAATATTTAGAAGTCGTAGGAAGTATCCTGTTTGAAAACAAAATCCAAATAAACATATTTGACTGTAATTTCAGTTTTTAGAACATGTATTTATAATTATGTAGTAATATATGTTTACAATATAATCTGCTACAATAATTTTAAGTTTCTTCCAGGTGTTTACTGAAGAAAATCTTTGAGTTGTGGAAACCTTTAACTGGTGCTCTTCTGTTTTCCTTTCTGAGGGAGTTAATTATTTTCTAGTGTCTCTCTAATTGCTAAAAGTGCAATTTTTTTTACTTTAACATTTTACCTACATTTCTGGAAATACAACTTTTAAGGAAAAAAAGGATAATTGTGATGTCTTTCAAAATTAATACATTATATTAATTTCTTACAATATGAAAAGCTGCAGAAATCCTTTTTCTTTTCCCCCGCCCTTTTTTAAAATACATAATATATTTCTTTTCTTGTAGTTCATTATAGAGTCTCATAAAGTTCTATAATTCATTTCAAGCCAATCTCCCCTGTAGGCCTAATACCATTTTAGGCTGCATCATGGGTTCTGGGTCCTGTAGGGTCTCTAGGAAGCCCACAGATAGATCTGAGATTTTATATAACTTTAACTACAGCTTCAGTGAAAGCATTTCTAAATAGACTGCACTGGATGTCTGTTGATAAAGACTTCAAAAACTAATCTCTAGACTGGTTGGTGGAGCACATACTGTGTGAAAAGTTCTTGGAATTCTAGCATAAAATTTGGAGAAGAGGTGTTCCTGTAGGTGCCACTGCTTGGCAGCAATGACCAGGAGCTTTCTTTTTTGGCAGTTTGTAAAGGAGGATGTAGATTTCCTACCAGCAAAATGGCACAGATATACTATTGCAATTTTTGCAATACATAATTATCTGTAGTGCCCACGTGTCTTGTGGCAATGTAATCCCTTGTTGTTCTTGAAGGGACTTGATAGAAAAAAAGCATTGTTTCCTGAGGTGAAAAGCCAGCTACAGCTTCATTCTTGTAATCCTGAGCTGAGCTTAGGCATTTATGTGTTGAATCAATAGACTGTCTGTGAGCTTGCTCTGTAGAGAAGCAAAATATGAGTGTAAGTTAGTGTTGGTGTGAGCTCAAACTTTATCTGCAGCTTTTCTGAAAGCCAATCTTTTCCCATGCTTTTCTTCTCTAGACACAGAGATTATAGAGACCATCAACTTCAAATCTTATGTGGTGAAATTTAAGAATTTATTAATAGTACACAATATATAACGTTTCCCATTGGAATTGTTTTATACCCTGAGCTGGAAAACAGGGAACTATTGAAATGAAAAGCAGTTTAAAGACAGTGGAATAATCTCATTTCAGCAGACAATGCTATCAATGAAAGCATGGAAGAAAAATCAACACTGGGAAAGAAAAGAAAATAGTAAGAGTCAAAAATAAAACATTTATGACCTGGTCCTTAATGTAATTTTTATATGGCTTTCCTGGTATCTTTTTCAGATACTGAAACTTTTTGCTTTGAAAGGGGAATTAAATATGGTAAAAACCATAAAATCATATAGTGTTACTGCACTGCAGTTTTTCCTTTATGCATATGGTCTTCCAAAGTCATTCTTTTATAAGCTTCAGGACTGCCTTACCAAATCCCTTCATTGGTGAACAGAAGTAATAGTGAGTCTTTATCCCCTCTTTTGCATGGAAATACTGGATAAAGGATAAAAATAAATATCTAGGATATTTACACTCTACCTTCAGTTTGCTGACCAGGTTTGCAGCATTACTTGGTGCCAAAAGTGTGCAGCAGTGGGAAAATTCAAATTCTTTGTGTCAAGAAGTTAATAAATAACTAAACTACTCACTTGAGAGCCAGCAACAAAGCAATTTGTTCTTGCCAACTGGAAGTGGTTAAATGATGAAAAATTGTCCTCTAAAGATCTGAGTGATCCATGAATCTATTTTGTGAACCACACAGCATTCAGTGTGTTGTAGCACTGGGTATCTCATATTTTCTATATTAAGAGTAGTGTGATATGTCCAATGTCAGTGTCAATTTATTCATTATATAGGTAATATCTCCAGGCAGGGTAATGGACAACAAGATATGACTAACCTTACAAAAACTATGTAAGTCATTTGCCCAGGGAGTGTTTATTTTCATTAACTTGTAAATATATCATGTTCCTGAAATGTTATTCAAAAGGTGATTTAAAAAATACTGTTCAGTCCAATGGAGATAAATAGTAAAGCTATGGCAGCTTTGAAAAATTTAAACAAATAAAAATATAAAAGACAAGGAAAATAATTGTGAAAATGAAGAGTCATTTTGTTGAAGTACATAAACAGAGTTGTGTCTGTTGATGACAGTGTTAAACATCCTGTACAATAATGATTTGATAGTAGGATAAACAAGAGCAGTGGAGAGGGGCTCAGGAAATAAACTCATATCTAGATGAGAGTCAATACAAGAGAGGGCCTAATAGAAATTGTATTTTATGAAAATGTTCCTTTTAAAAGCAAAAGCTGTACTCAAAAACAATATAGCCAGTTAATTATGTCTGCATTGCTTTTCCTGCTCTCATTTTTCCTGGACAAAACCTTCTAGGGATGAGATTGCAAGGGCATTGCTCTAATACAACCTGATATAAAGAGTTGCAGTGAACAAAATATACTTTTTTTTTTTCTTTTGAACTAAACAGATCACCTTATGATGAAAACACTTGTGCTCATATTTGTGGCTGCATCCTTTGCAGCTTCAAATGTTGCCTGCTAAAGAATCAGAGGGGCTTTTGAACCAATCACATTATTTACAGAACAGTTATTTCATTCATAGCTATTTACAAAGTGAAGAGGAACCAAAGAAAATAGAGCCTTTGCCTCTTCTGACTTACTCAAAGGCTTCCACAAGCATTATGTGGTCTTTTCCACAATTGTACAACAATCAAGTATAAGTGAATAAGCAATTAGCTTCAGTCTTTAATGATGAAAAGAATTTCCTCCTGTGTCTGCAATGCCTTGAGGTCTGGCTTTGATACCCAGATACTGATACACAACCAACTGACCTATGGACAGAAGAGTGTCTTGATGGAAAAGTAGAAAAGTTCATTTTCAGTGAAAAGGATGAATTCATGTTAATAGCACTTACCTCAAAATGGCATTTAGCTCATTTGTAATATATTTCATGTTTGACTTTCTAAAAGGTCACAAAGGAGAATAAATGATGTCATTATTTATGGAGTGAGTAAAATGATCATTTTTAAAGATGAACTGCATTACCTTGTAATGCATGTCACACTTTTTTTAGTGAAAGTAAAAACTGTTGTTGGCTTATCCACTTGAAAAATGATTACTGAAAGCATTCTTTCCTTTTGATATTTATAAAAGAAAACACTTTGTTGTGTTCAACTTTTTATTTAGATACATAAAAGATATTACCATAAATAGATCTGAAAAAATAAACTAAGATCATTTTTGGAGGTCTACAGCAATCACCTTTTTTAAGCACACTGCTGGATATGAGGAAATATAACTTCTCCTTTTTTTTAATTATTCAAAATTAGTAAAGGTAATTAAAAATACTATGTTCATACATGTCTCCATTTCATACAGAAATGCACTTCAAATTTATTTTATTCAAAAAACTTTGGCCACATTGCAGCATTTTTTTTCATGGAAAGCTACACCAGTGAACCTAAATCTTCAAGGCTTTTAAATGGTTCAGTAATATTTAAACATGAAAGAAAAAAAAAAAAAAGCTACTAAAAATCCCCCAAAAAACCACAAAAATCTGTATTCCATAGGACATACCCCAGTTTTCAGCAAGCTACAGAAGTTAGCACTGAATGGAATTTCTGGCTGATTTTGGAATGGGAATGAGCAAACTTCTCCTTCTATGCTTTGCTTGAATTACATGGTACAGAGTTTCCACAGAGCTGCCAGAATCTGCTGTACACTCCAACAGCCAGACTCTCCTGTGATGTATTTTCACAGATTTTATTTTCACAGTGGGAGGTGAATAAAACAATAAACATGTGTACAGCAAATGCTTACCCCACTTAGCAAAGCCCGTGCCTCGCTGTATCTGCTGCCTGCTGGATGTCATGGTGCATAAATCCCCTAATTGCACAGTGCAAGTCACATGTCTGGGACAGAAACAGCTCATGGAAGCCTTTTATGAGCTCTGGAGTTTGTCCAATGTTATCTGTACTTTTCTAGCTGTGTTTTGAGTGAGTTATGCAGCCTCCCACGGAAGAAACGTTAAATGAATGAAGTTAAGCACAAGCATGGGAAATTGTGCATGCAACAAAGAGCAAGCAAAGATCAGAGCCTGTCATGTTTCAAAGAGAATACATAAAGAACTGGTGGTTTAATTTAAAATGTATCTTGCAGTAGTAAAGATTATTGCTAAATAGATTTATTTTCTACTTTCAAACTAACAGAATTACTTTTCTTTCTCTTACAGAATAATGATATAATCTATTACAATGCAAAAGACGATCAGAATGATGTAAGTAATATGTTTCACTTAATTTCATTGCCTGTAATCTCAGAAAATTAGGGGAATGAAAATATTAATGAAACTCTGAGACTGTCATTTAAAGATTGGGCAGAAGCAAAAAAGCAAGGAACTTAAAAAAGTCTTTAAAAGTTTCCTCAAGAGCCTGACAATATTTTATGTTCTAATTCTCAAAAAAATTCTGTCTCCTTTCATACAATTTGAATTACTGGTCGGGCAGAAAATGTGCTGGGACAGTGAAGATCCTAACAGCAGTATATTTCACTTTTTGAAACATAATAAAATCATAATTATAGGATTGGAGAATCAAAATGATAAATGTAAATAATTCAGTTCTCTCTGAAGAAACCATTTTCTGGCCTTATTTTCCAAGATCATATGCTGTTGTTCTGTATTCCTTGTAATCTTTTACATGAGGAGGAAGAAAATGTGAAATGTTGCTGGATAATTATTTTCATTCACATTGTGATCATTTATGTGACTGTAATAAGATTTGGGAAGACTGAAAATCCAGTCACAATATTTAGACTAAATGTATGATACTTCAGTTCCTGGTTTACTAAAACTCTTACTTTAAAAAGGTTGAAGTCTCCTTTCTACCATTAACTGCTAAAAATCTTTATGTGTTCTGGAGACAACACAATCCTCACCTTCACTGGAGATAATACAACTGCTTGTCTTCATTATAGATGAAATTTATAAGACCATAGAAAAATGTTGTAAATGTATTAATCAGAATTGCCAGCATGCTTCATTTGCACTTTTTAATCAAGTATACTTTAGAGATTGATGGCATCACTATTTAATTGATGCTTCTGCTGTAAGGCAATTAAAGAAGGTACATAGATCATGTCAAGCAGAACTATTTTATATGGTTATATAGAGTTGTGAGTCCTTTGTTTCAGATACCACAAACTGCTGTCTTGAGTTTTAGGCTTGCATGATTTAAGTAAAATTCATTAGAAGTAACCTAAATTTGAAATATATTATTCTGTTCTCATTAAATTCATTGGATGGCAGGTGCTAATCTTCTCTGGAAACAGAATTACAAAGCTTAAATATTGGATTTTTAATCTAAATATACCAGATAGTAATGGTAGACTGTGGTGTGAAGTAAAAACTGTGATGTATCTGTTATGATTAAGTAGTACTGGGAAAGGTCTTCAGATTTCTACTTCTACAACCAAAATACAAATCTATTAGGCAAGGCAGGAAAGGAAATACTATTTCAGAATTCAGTCTTTGTTTTTTTTTATTTTCTTCAGGACATTTATTTCCCTTCAAGAAAAAAGTACAAACACACACACTAAAACAAACAAAGTTTGTTAGACCAGATATACTGTTTTATTTCTGTTTCAGTTTTCTTGATTTTTTATGTCTTTCTGAACATTCATTAGAATGAAGTTTATAATAATGTTTATTGTTGAGAAGTGATAAGGATACAATGGTCAGTGATCTGATAGTGATTTTTTTTTTGAGAAGACCTTCATCTAGATCTCAACTATGTATGTAAACACCACAGATTCTTCCCTTCTCCTGCCTGAAAAAAATGCTTGAGACAGCTTTTTTTCTTTAAATATTTAGAAATTTTAATAGAATCATCTCTGAACACTGGTTAGTCAAACTGCTTGCAATCCATTCCTTTCTGTGTCTAATAAGTCCACACTTTTTTCCTCTTCCGTGCTGTGAGCCTTCATTTATTCACAGGAAATGATATAATATTTATCTTTGAGTACAATCAAGAATAATTAGTAGCAGAAATTAATTTATTAAAATTAGACATTAAACTAATCACTGTGGGTATCTCTAGAGGGGTGTTCAGTTTGTTTTGAGACAGATGTCTAAGGTTATCTGAACTGAATCATTTCTAGGTGTGTGTTTCTCTGTAAATAATTCCCTGTAACAGATCCTTTCAGATCTTAACTTTTTGGATGGTGAAGAATTAGAAGAGATTAATCTCACAGGTCTTGCCTGCCAGTTTTTATTTGTCTCCACTCATCCTTTGAATATTACAGAATTTTCAGAAGAGCAGTCCTCCTAAATTCTGTGTATGTTTCTGGTGTATATTTATATGCTGCAGGACAGTTTTCTTTCCTTCTTCCCATTCCCATACCACATTCAGGAGATCCTTCTCTCATTTTTCATCTGCTGTCCATATCAGCCTTTTCCAATCTAATGACTGGGCTTGTTTGTACTTAAAAAAAAAAATAAAGAATCACATGAAGGTCAGTCATTTTCTGGCCTTTGGATTTCTCAGTCTCTCAGATAAAACAATCAATTTGTAACCCTGTAGTCCATCAATCAGTAATAGACCTTTTGTACTCTTTATCTTACAGCAGCAATTATATTCTGCTTGCTTATTTCCCCCTCCCCACCAGCGCTCCATGTAATGTGTGAGCACTTGATGATTATTAATGAGTTTTATCCTCACAACAAGGTAGGAGGTATTATATTTCCATTTTTTATATCTCATAGGAAGATAATGGCCAAACTTGTAATTTAGTATAGGTCTTTCAGGTTTTCATTCACTGTCCTTTTCCCGAGAACCTTTTCAGTTTGATATATTGCAGCCTGTTTGTGCACTTTAATTTTCAGGTGTCAACAGCTTGTTGTACTTGGACAAATGCTGCAGTGCTTTTATTGGATAACTGAGTAGTCCCACATTAAGTTGCTCTTTCCCATTAGTTTTCATATTGCTTTGCCTGTTTTCTCATCTTGTCCTTTGTACCTCCACCTTATTGATAGTAATTTTGCTTCCCTGCTCAATTCTTTCCTCTTCTTTATTTTGGTTTCCATTTTATATTCATTAATTCCATGTCCTAAAACTATATTTTTTTTGTTTCCTTGTATTCAAGTAATTCACAACTCAACTGTACACTGAATTGCTCAATTGCTTAATTTTTGTATGTCTTGAATTCCTTTCTTAATGTTTCTCTCATTTCCTCTTTGCATCTTGCTGCTTTTCCAAATTTTTTAGTATAATTTCTTGTAATGGTTTTATAAACTTGTTCCTGGACAAGCTACAACAAGGAAATGATTTTTCAATGATTTGATGGAAAGAACTAGGTAAAACAAATAAAGAAATGTCTCTAACATGAAACCAGCCACACATCACTGGAAGTCTCCAGTTTCCCTGTAATCCCTGGGCATTAATGGGGAGCAGCCAGTTGTATCTCCTGGCAGGAGTTGTGTCCCTAGTTAGCACAAGTGATTTATTAGACACTGCCTTCATGCAGTCTCACACTGGCTTGCAGTCATGGCTAACAGAGCTGTGCTCCTTGTGCAATTATTGATCACATACTAAGTGACAGTAGCAAGTTTCCTTTTCTTTTACTGAACTAACGTGGATGCTCTAAAATTATGGGTCCCTTTGGACAGTAAATATCTGCGCAAAGTGTGAGTTCAGACTGTGACTAGGAGTCAATGTGTGGGTTCCACTAGAGGCAAATATCTGTAACATGCCTATGACTGATTTTAAAAACAAAAACATATTTTATTACTTTATAATAAAGAAGGAAGAATCTTTTAAAACAATAAGCTATCTGTGCCATATGGTTTAGGAATTTTTCCCAATTCAGTGATGCCTTGTTATCTTGGAATAATTTGTGAAACATTAGCTCTATTTGAGCTTAAACTGCAACGTAAATACAGCTATCAATTTGGGGCTTTATAAATACTGTTAAAAATTACATATACATCAAATTGAAATCTATTGTAGAAATATGAAAGGATAATTAGTTATGAATGTAAATTCTTCACGACAAACATTTTAGAAAACAAAATAATTTCCATCCCTCAACTTACTTTCTTATTTTTTTTTCCTTTTTAAATATGAAGTGAGGAATAAATATTGGGCAGGAGTAAGCAGAGACCAGAATGGTTATCTAAAAGGCATGCTCCTTGTGGGTCTGCTTCTTCCCAGGAAGAGACTTAGAGATTTAAAAGATATTGACAGTGGCTTTGGTAATTCATTGAGTCTCTGCTTATAGCCTTCCACAAGCCTTGCCTTTTCTACTGCTCTATGGTATCAAGGTTGAAAAATCTGCTTATATATGCACCTATGATTAATTTAGTAAAAAGAAGTCTGTTAATGAAATATCCCAGATTTACTTGTAAACAAGTCTGAACCTACTGTGGATTAGATCAGAGAAATGCTGTTTTTTTGGTTTTTGATTTGTTTTTTTTTTTTTGCTTCACTCCAGCCACAAGATATTGGGAGTTTCCTGGATTTTCTCCTTATAACATGCATTGAAAATGGCAGAATAATTTAATTTATACAAGTATGATATTTTGTGTATTTTCTAGCTGGACATCAGAAAAGTGTCCTCTGTACGCCAGTGTTTCAGGAGCTCTGTGTTGGGTCAGGTGGAGCCCTTGAGGGGGAGATGGCACCTAAATATGGTCAGCTTGGAAGAGGATTAGGAGCTGAGGTGGGGCAGATGGGGGACCCCAGTGATCCAGTCTCAAAGGGGACAGGTATAAAAAGACTTCTAGAGGCTGAAAGAGTGATGCCAGATTTCTGCAAGTCCAGCAGCTGCCAGTTGCTGGATTGAAAAGTGAGACTGATTGTAATGACTGGCCCTGACACTACAGAGGAAGCTGGGGCAGGGGCTGCTTTTGCATCTCATCCAACAGATAAAGATTTTCTCTGGCTTTTCCGGGGTTTTAAACCTGATTCTGATAAGAGAGAACCTTTATAAAGCTCCCTTTTATCTGCATATGTTAGAGTAGTTCTCTAGTCCCCGTGCTTTCACTGTGTTTGGATGCCAGCATTCAAACAACCAAATCAATATCCTACCACCTGGGTTTAGCTAAAGATGGACTTCAAAGCATCAGGTTTTTTCTGAGCTAAAGCTACTAACTTTCCAATATTTCATAGACAGTGAAGGGTAGGTATTTCCAATAAGAAATTTGTCTGAAATCATTTAGGATGAGCTTAAGTGCTAAGCTGTAGAGGATCTAGTTTCCTTTTGCAATAGGGCAGCCCAGCA